GCAAACCTAGACATGCTTTTTGAACATTTGATATGCCAGCAATGCAAAAGTTGTGTTGTGAAAACTTCTTTACTTAATATTCCAACTTTTAATATTCTTGTAACAAAGTGGAAGTATCTACAGGAGCGACAGCATCTAAGCCACACGGTTGTAGTGACGCTTCATATCAGAACGGACGCTGAGGGGAATGATTGGTAGAGGTCACCAATTTTCTACAGAGTTACAATCATAAGATCCATCCATGGTTTCTACCATGGATCAGACTGAACTCCATAACAATAGGAAGGTTCCACTGGGGTCAAACAGACATTTTGAAATAAAACCTTTCAAGTATCTCATATTTGAAAGTGGGTAGTAGGGCACACTCCAAGCAGAGTGTCTCCCAAATTATTTTAGCCAAAAGAGGACACAGTAGTTACGAGGCGTGTCTCAGAGGAATTTAGAGCAAAACAAGTCTGTGGGTTTTAAAATTAATGTTCTCCCATCTTACAAAGTAAAATAGTGGAAAGTAGACGTTCACCAAAAGCTGTAGCTTTACACTTATTATAAACTGGTGATCAGCAAACAGTGCTAGGATAACAGAACAAAAGAAAGTTCAAAGTAATTACCTCCTCCTCTGGGAGAAAAAATTTGATAGTAAGAAAAGAAAATATGGGCCTAAAAGGATCAATAAATAAGTAGAAAAAAAATTCTGATGCATCTTTATTAGTTTGTCCAACTTTTTCTTTCCCTGCCAGACAACAGTGGTGCTGGATGCAGGAGTTTGCCCTGCAACTGAAGGGTTGTAAGTTCGAACCTCTGGCTTCAAATGTCATTGTGTCCTTGGGCAAGACACCTCACCTGGACTACCTGCTAATGGTGGTCAGGAGGCCTGCTGGCGCCTCGTTTCTGTCAGTGAGCACCATGGCAGCTGTGGCTACAGTGTAGCTTGTCACCATTAGGGTTTTAGTTCCTGCATCAATGGGTGATTGACTGTGTGTCATGTGAAGCGTTTTGGTCAAATTCCCTGACTTAAAAAAAGTGCCATATAAGAACAGACAATTAAGCATTTTATGTCACTTTAGTACACATTTTCCTGTGTAATTTTCTTTTTTTATGTTCTGTTCAGGTGCAGAACTTCATGAAAAAGTTTCTGAAACAGTTTCTACTAATATTTTCTAACATATTTCTTAGTATTTGTCCTTTGCTATTTTTTCTTTATTCTCTAACTCCCCAGCTTTCCAAAAGTTGTACAAAGGTCTTTTAACTTCAAGAATATGTATGGGAAATAAAAAAGATAAAAACGTTATAGAGCTTACCATCAATACTTTCCAGAGATAAATGGTCCACAAAAGCAACATCACCTGCACCTCTCCGGAGACATCTGTACTAATCCAACAAAGAAACAAAAACCTAATATGTCTAAGGCTCTATTTTTATGTTAAATTGTAATGTGCTGGGTTGTAGGGGCTCTCTCTTGTTGTGGCTGACCTGAGGGCTCCCTGGTTGTTGTAGAAGGGCTCATTGTGTGATGTCTCACAAAAGTAATTCTTCTGGCGTACATAGGACCTTTGGCCTTGACACAAAGTGCACAGATGTGGCGCCATAGTGGCAGCTCCAGGAACACAGCTAGCTCTGAAAAAAGAACCAACATCTAACAGAGAGACAAAAAGAAAATACAAGTCTGATCAGAACCTTAAAAATGTGTTTCTTCTCTGTTTCAAATCAAAATGTCCTAATTTTAAATTTCAGATTCCCTTCGTTGAATGAATAAAAAAAAATCAGCAGTTGGATGATTATTATATGGATGAATGAATAACAGATGAATTGAGTCAAATGAATAAATGTGCATATGGATGGAATGAAAGACTACCAGATCAACACATGAATGAGTGGAGATGTGGATGAATAGATGTTTCCAAACTGCAGAGGAACCCCATCATGAGAACCATGAAGTTCTATCCTCACCCAGGCTGAGAGGATTCTCTTTGCTCCAGCTTAGATAGTTCCTGGATAGTAGAAACCCGAGTGGGAGGCTCCATCCTGTGGTCCATTGAGCCCCGCTATGACAGCTCCTGAGGCCTTGCAGTGACCGTATGTCTAAGCTCCTGTTTGTTACCACAGCAACAGATAGGATGCAGCTACCTGTAGAAAGTCCAGCAAATAACCAAACTTTTTAGACCTCAGTCAGAGAAAGTGGACGCTATAGAACATGTTAGGAGGGTAAACAAACCCTACCATCATTGTAGACCTCCTTAGCAATAGCAACAAGATCAAACTGCTTCACAGCAGAATAAACCTCTCCTGCATCCAATGCCACTATATCTGCACGGTTAGCCTGAAATCAAGGAGCAAAACTCAGTTTTTTTCAATAGGTAATTCAATTTACTTAAAAAAAAAAGTTTCAGAAATACCTTTAACCTATTTTAGAGGAAGCAGTAAGAGGTTTCTTTCAATCATCATCATCATCATCATCTTCACCTCATGACTCACCTTGATTTTATCGATGCAGTCCGCCGTGCTGGATGCTTGTACGCACGACAGTCTGGCAAAAGCTGCTACTGCAGCCGGTGGCAACACTGCCACCAGAGCTTTGGCCAGCTCTGCACACTTCCTGTGTTCAGGATCTGAGATGGTGCACCAGCGCATCTTCTTCGCTGTCATATGAACAATTATTTAAAATATCCACACCAGCAAGCCAATGAAATAACATGATTTTTAAAAAAATAACTGGTCACCTTTGTCTCTGGATAGGAACGATTGACCAATAAGAAGTATTTTAATACAGTGCCTTTAAAAAAAATGAACCATTAACTCCCAACAGTTTTTGTTGAAATTAAAATAGCGCAGAGAGTAAGTATTTGGCACGTTGCAGGTTCTGTTTCTACTAATTTGTCAAACCTAAATGGTTCAGGCCAAACAATCAAACTTGGTCCAATTATCAGAACCGACTTTGTTTAAGACCTCATAACTGGTTTTTCCTCAACTATAACACTTACCATGAATTTTTGTCCACTGCAGGTTTCCCCAGCATTTAAAATATCTTTCTTTCAAATTATATTTGATTAAAAAAGTGGTTACTTATTTGCATCTAAACAGGAAGTAGGGTGCATAGCAAAGGAAAAGACAAAGTAAATGCCAAGGAAGGGAGTCAAGTGTAAAACAACAGCATCAGTAGATGTGGTCTGACTGCTCTACTAATTAACCACAGGACCCTTGTGGATGGTGCTTTGGGTTGTTATCCTGCACTAAAATCCAAGCACATTTTAGCTTAAGATCAAAACTGATGACTGAATTTTAACCCTAACCCTATTTTCGGGTTGAGAGCAGAAGGTTTTTCAGGTCCTGAAGCAACAAAGCAGCCACAGACCTTCTCTCTAACACCACCAATAATGTCTGTTGGAATATATTTCTTTAGTTTTTAGGTAAAATACAGCAAGAAACACACCTTCAAAAAGTTACCATTTGCTCTGATCAGTACAGTCTTGTTGATCTTTACTATTGTTTTTTGTGTTATGTTTTTGGTAAATGTGAGCTGGCTCTTTTTGCCTCTTTCTTTTAGGTAAATCGTAAAAACTAATTTGATCTAAATCAATTGATAGATGACAGTGACTTTGTTTCTCCGGTGGGAACATAATGTGTCACTAGCCTACGTCTTTTTGCCTACTTCATACTGTCGACAGGTTAGTGGTCCCGTCTTACAGAAAAGGGGTTAATTGATGGCCAATGAAATTGGACTCAGCTAACAAAAACAATAGTAATTTGTGATTTAAAATGGGGGAATTATACTTTTTGAACAGTTTTAAATCTACAAGTTTTCATTTCTTAATACCGTAGCTTACTTATTGGATGGTTTATTAACCATTTAGTAATCTCTAAAGGAAACATTACTGTTAAATGACTGATGAGTCGGCCATTTTAGGCTGTGTTTCTGAGTGGAACGGGCTGGAGTATCGATCGGTCATCATAAACTTTGTGGATCGGTGTGAGAAGCACCACCTGTGTCTTAACACCAGTGAGACCAAAGAGATGGTGATCGACTTCAGGAGAAGACCCCCACCTCACTCCCCTGTGAACATCCAGGGGTATGACATAGAAACTGGATAGGAGAGGAGGGTGCTGTCCATCATGGACAACACCTCTCACCCTCTGCATTAGACTGTAGAGGAGCTGAGCAGCTCCTTTAGTGAAAGACTTTTACACCGTTTGTAAAAAGGAGCTCTAGCGCAGGTCAATCGTCCCTGCTGCCACCAGACTCTACAATACGACACCACAACAATAAAAACTTGTGCAATGTATAAAGTGCAATTACTATTTGATGTGCTGTGTAATAACTGTTTCTGTATATTTGACACCCAGTGCAATAATTATATATTTAAATATCCATCTACATAAATACTCATGTAAACACCCTGCGCAATAACCCTGTATAATAATCCTACTATATATATATATATATATATATAAATAAAAATGCCATCATATGTGGAATCACTTTATATATCCTATACACCTTTTTCTTCCTTAGGCACTTTTTGACTATTTGAGCTGATGTAATGAGTAAATTTCTCCACTGAGATAAATTAAGTCAATCAATCGATCAATCAATAAATTGTCCCAGACATAAGTGCAATTTTTAACCAACTAAAGAACATCTTTGATGTTTCATCGGAAAATGCAGTGAAAGTACTTACCCCTGATGAAACATGCAAAGGCAAAGAAGACAAAGACTAAAACGTGGAACGCTCCTCTCATTTTAGGCAGTAGATCAAAAGCTGAGAGATATCTACCTCGTCAAAAGACACTTTCTGAGCTCAAAAAGCAGGAGTTTCTCTGCACCGATTTAAAGAGGTAAAAAAATAAAATAAATCAGAGCCACTGCTAAGAAAGAAGAGAAAATCTATTGCGTAAGGTCCGTTCCTCTGAAAACAGTCACCTCTTGCACACATATGGAAAATATTTTAACACCATCTGTCATAAGCAGAGCCACATCCAACCAATCAGAAATTAAACAGTAAACCGCAGCTTTACTTTATTTTTAATATAATTGCCAAGAAAGAACTTCTTAACATCCACAAACAACCATTTCTTTTAAGAAATTATAAAACATGAACAAAATGTGGATCAGCTAAACATATTCAGCTCAGCACCTGTGGTTTTTATATAAGGAAAATCAGTGAAAACACTGAGCAGAATGGTTATATAAATCTTGTGTCATGAGGTGATGTCTTTTGGCTTTTAATGCAGAGGGTAAATTCCCGAGCTGTGGAGGACAGACTGCAAATATTGGATTCTCTCCACGTGCAGCAAGATTGTTGGTTTCTGTTTGTCCAGCTCAGTTGACAATTCCTGTATGTGCTTCTCCAGCTGTGAATGCAAAAGAACCAGATCAGTATTCATACTTTAGATAAATCAGTATCTAAAGTATCAACAAGTTCATGGGCCAGAAATACCTCGAGCTTAAATCAGAAAAAAATCACTCTTTGTTTATTTTTTGTCTTCAAATTGCAACGTTGGAGATCAGTACCAATTTGGACTCAATGGAACTATAATCTAAAGAACATAGAAGATTTTTCAAATGATGCTATATATCACAAAATCTTCATACTACAATGTTAAAAAGAATAAAAAGAAATAAGATCACTCAAAGATCAAAAGCTTATTTAAAATCCTGCAGCCAATTAATTTGTTTATACTCTCAACAGATAAACCTGCTTTGCTTTAAATTATACTTTTAGTGATCAAGCTGCAAGTTTTCTTCTCTTATATCTCCATATGTCTAGTTCATCAGCTCTTTTCAAAATCAATGAGGAAGTTTTAATTTCCGCTTCAACAAATCAGCAGCCTGATACGCACATATATGAACTAGATCTGGTTTATTAATGATGTTAGTCATTCTCTCAGTACCTCCTGCAGCTCCTCACAAACTGCCCTTTTTTCCACTTGTTCATCCTCTGCACTCGTCTGCAGCCAACTATCCAACACGTCCCTCAGCTTCCGCCATGCCCTAATCAATACACAGTTAGAAATCAGTCCCTGCATACACAAGCGTTACAACGATACAAAAAAGAGATGGATTTTTGTCATTTTCACCGAAGCTGCTTTCTGCTCTGCTGGAATTGTTCCATGTTGGTCTGAATGCTTAGAAGCTCCCTCATCAGAGCTGCAGCATCTTTATCAGGAGGATTCTTCGAACTGAGATCTAAAAAGGCATCAAAAAATTATGTCTTCTGATATTAGCTGTTTCATACTTCTTAATTTTGTTGCTGTATAAAAGGTGAACCACATTACCTTTCAAATCTGATGAGACATGTTGAGAGGCAGAGACAAACTCATGGTGGGAGACGACGGGAGCCTCCAGGAGACCTGAACCAGTCAACTTAATAACAGGAAAGATATACACTAGGAACGTCAGAATATTGTATTAAGAGATGAAATATTAGGATGTGTTTGAGTAGAAGACGATTACAGATTTCTGTGTGCTGGAGGTCATGAAAGCTGATGGAGGCAGAAGTTGATCTTGAGATNAGTAAACCGCAGCTTTACTTTATTTTTAATATAATGGCCAAGAAAGAACTTCTTAACATCCACCAACAACCACTTCTTTTAAGAAATTATAAAACATGAACAAAATGTGGATCAGCTAAACATATTCAGCTCAGCACCTGTGGTTTTTATATAAGGAAAATCAGTGAAAACACTGAGCAGAATGGTTATGTAAAGCTTGTGTCATGAGGTGATGTCTTTTGGCTTTTAATGCAGAGGGTAAACTCCCGAGCTGTGGAGGACAGACTGCAAATATTGGATTCTCTCCACGTGCAGCAAGATTGTTGGTTTCTGCTTTTCCAGCTCGGTTGACAATTCCTGTATGTGCTTCTCCAGCTGTGAATGCAAAATAACCAAATAGTTGTTAGTAGTAATAAGTATGATATGCAGTTTATAATGATATCCATCTCTATGCATCAGCTAAAGACCTTATCTAAAGTATCAACAAGTTTATGGGCCAGAAATACCTAAATTTTAAATCAGAACAAATCACTTATTGTTTGTTTTTTGTCTCCAAATTGCAATGTTGGAGATCAGTACCAATTTGGACTCAATGGAACTATAATCTAAAGAACATATAAGATTTTTCAAACAATGCTATATATCACAAAATCTTCATACTACAATGTTAAAAAGAAATAAGATCACTCAAAGATCCAAAGCTTATTTAAAATCTTGCAGCCAATTAATTTGTTTATACTCTCAACAGATAAACCTGCTTTGCTTTAAATGATGCTTTTAGTGATTGAGCTGCAAGTTTTCTCCTCTTATATCTCCATATGTCTAGTTCATCAGCTCTTTTCAAAATCAATGAGGAAGTTTTCATTTCCGCTTCAACAAATCAGCAGCCTGATACGCACATATATGAACTAGATCTGGTTTATTAATGATGCTAGTCATTCTCTCCGTACCTCCTGCAGCTCCTCAAAAACTGCCCTTTTTTCCACTTGTTCATCCTCTGCACTCGTCTGCAGCCAACTATCCAACACGTCCCTCAGCTTCCGCCATGCCCTAATCAATACAGTCAGAAATCATTCTCTGCACACACAAGCGTTACAACGATACAAACAAGAGATGGATTTTTGTCATTTTCACCGAAGCTGCTTTCTGCTCTGCTGGAATTGTTCCATGTTGGTCTGAATGGTTAGAAGCTCCCTCATCAGAGCTGCAGCATCTTTATCAGGAGGATTCTTCGAACTTAGATCTAAAAAGGTATCAAAAAATTATGTTAGATGTTTCATACTTCTTAATTTTGTTGCTGTATAAAAGGTGAACCACATTACCTTTAAAATCTGATGAGACATGTTGGGAGGCAGAGACAAACTCATGGTGGGAGACAACGGGAGCCTCCAGGAGACCTGAACCAGTCAACTTAATAACAGGAAAGATATACAGTAGGAACGTCAGGTTATTGTATTAAGAGATTAAATATTAGGATGTGTTTGAGTAGAA